TTTTTATTGTCAGGTTTAGTGTTTTTTCGACAGGTTTAGTGTTTTTTCGACAGGTTTAGTGTTTTCCGGGGTTTCCACTCAACGGTTGTACATGCTTGTATAAATCTGTTCACATAATTTATGTTTTTCCTAGGAATATCCTGCATGGTCTGCAGAAATAATGATGGATCTGCCTGTTAAGGGTATGTTTGTTGGGGCTTTACTCATAGTAGATGGTGATATTTTATCTACAAGTCCAACTAAGTTTTGGGAGAGTGACAATTTTATTGACGTACCACTGATGATTGGTGAGTAAATGCATACGCTGTAAACCCCTAAATTATCCCTCAATTATGACTAAAGCATTTCCAGTGCCTTGTGACTTTGGATTGAATTACCATATATTATTTTTAGAACTATAGTAATATCCACATCACTCTTTCCCTATAAAAAAATGCAACCATATTTCCTGTGATTTAATGGTATTTACGCTGGACAAATAATTTGTCTCTGAACTCACTTTAACGTGACACATACAGACTTCAATATATATTGAACGGAGTCATTCAATCATGCATTACAAGCAAAAAATGCTGGCTGAATTAATGGCATATAGGGATTGGATACCAGAGCCATACTGTAACTTAACAAGACAATTCTTACCAATTACTTGGTATATTTAGTGCAGCCAAAAAATAAGTATTCAAGCAGAATAGTATGCCACACAATCTTTAGTAATGCATGCAACAAGTCAATTTTATTCTCACTTGTTTGCTTAACCCATGAAGTTTTCCTTTAAACGACTTCTTCTTCAATTACCCACCATAGATTCCGGCCAGTCAAAATTACTATTTTGAACTGTAGGCATTAATCAGCGATTCTGCCGGTGACGGAGAGATAGAATCTAGGTCAGGGTAAGCCCAATGACCACAAGATTCTCTTCCCTTACGTCACAAACCATGTGACCGAGCCATATGGCAGCGCCTCGTCGACTCTGCCTGGCTCGTTTGTTTTTTCCTGTCTGGGTTTCTAGCGTGGGTTATTGCTGCAGCCGTGCATTTGACATTC